AGGTGACAGGTTCTCTTTATGGTACCTGCCCTCCCGACACAGAACAGATGTTCTGTGCAGTTCCTGACGGCTGAGACAGGTGGCGCTGTGATTAGTCTCACTGATCACACAGAGCGGACCAGGAACGGACGTTCTTGGTCCGCTCTACACTCTCTATGGCTGAGCTGTCGTGCCGTGGTCTCGGGTCCCCCAGAAGAGCGAGTGACCCCCCCGAAAACCGCGGCGGAGAAGATGGCCGCTGCTCGATTTGACACAAGCGATCGGATCACTCGTCTAAAAACCAGCGCTGGCTCCCCGCTGTACATATATCTCCGCTTGCCTGACGCAGAGCTAAATGTACAAAAAAAAAAAAACGACTCGCCCGGCGCCCGAAACTGCATGTCCCGGTCGTCAGGAATTCCACACCCCCTGTCCTTGGCCGCAGTCACACCTCTGCCAGACGTGCTCTCCATTGAGATCATTATACAGGCAGATCCACGTGCTTTAAAGCCTTTCAATTCCAGGATGAGCAAATATTGTCCTCGTACCAGAGTCCTGTCTGCGCAGTCATCCCGTGTGAGACTTGCAGCTTCCTGTAATAAAGACCGGTCCCTGCTGCGCTCTCTCCTTGTGCAGGGTGACTGGTCTTGTCTCCGCCCCCTCCTGTAATAAAGACCGCTCACTGCTGCTCTCTCTCCTTGTGCAGGGTGACTTGTCTTGTCTCCGCCCCCTCCTGTAATAAAGACCACTCACTGCCGCCCTCACTCCTTGTGCAGGGTGACTGGTCTTGTCTCCGCCCCCTCCTGTAATAAAGACCGCTCACTGCCGCCCTCACTCCTTGTGCAGGGTGACTGGTCTTGTCTCCGCCCCCACACTGTAGTGACTGGGGTCTGTTGGATCCCTATTCCCGGTGTTAAGCTTCAAAAGTAAATTAGCGCACAATTGGGTGTCATGGTGTAAATTTGGACCCGAAGTGAAAAAGCGAAGCTTTGCTATCGGGGAAGGTGAAGAAATAATCTGCCTGTTTTGTGGGGTTCCTGGTATGTGGGGGTGCCTAGGCTCTCCTGTATCCTCATAGCTGTATATCTGCAGCGTGAGATCATCTCGGGCACTGCCGCCTCTGACTGTCACTCTCGGGAGACATTGAAGTGAGATTTGTTGAGGTCACTAGTGTGCTGATCTTTTGTTCTCCTTCCTGGAGGCTCCCCGCCTCTGCCAAGATGGCCGCCTCCATATAGCGACCATGCAGAACAAGGCATGTTAAGTCCATAATGAGGGAAGATCAGATGAAGGGAGACCGAAGCCAGCAATGGTGATCAGTCCTTTGCCCTCTGCCTGCTGATTGGGGGGTATAGCTTCCAGAGTTCAGCTCCTCTTATGAAGTGAGTAATGACGCCCATCAACACCGATTGATCATGTGACATATCTGGAAAATGAATCGGGGGGGGCGGGGCAAAATGAGACCCAAAGGTAAAGCGTGAATGGGCCCATACCCAGCCAATCCCATGGTCTGGTCACGTGGTCACATTTTTAGGGGTAAAAAATAAAACCTGTTAACAGAGGAAGGTGGGTAGGGGCGGGCGAGGGCGCGCTATAGCTCATTAAGTATTATAATATCTGGAATCATAAAAACGTGAGATGAGCGCAACATGGCGACCGCTTTGTAGGTGCGAAATCATTTTTATTGTGAGACGATTGGGACACACATGCAGAAATCCTGAGTGTGCATAAGTATTCACCCCCCCTAAAAGTTAACACTTTGTAATGCCCCCATTTGCTGCCTGACATGGCTCGGTCCTGGACTCGGGCCCTATTAGCTCGGCACATCCAATCACTGGGATTCTTCAAGACAGAACTGCTGCGACTCTCATGTTGGGTTGTATTGTTGTGCAGCAATCTTCAAGTCACGCCACAGATTTTCATCTGGATTGAGGTCTGGGCTTTGACCAGGACATTTTAAATGTCCCATTCGTCTTCCAGAACAGCTTGCGAGAGGCTCCACCCCCTTTTACTAGGAAACATCCCTTCGCTCCTCAGTTTTCCGTGTTTCCTCCGTCAGGGGGGGGGGGGGAACTGGGAAAAGAGAGAGACCCCCAAAGAGGTTTTTATAGTCTTGTGTCCCCACAGGGGTGAGTTATCCTCACTTCCTGTCTCTGTGCCTTCCTCAGACAGGAAGTGAGGGGAGAACCTCCCCAGCAGACGCAGCCATAAAAACGTGACCTTGATGATTTGGACTTGCAGGGCTTTAAAGGAGAACTATGGGGGGGTCAGGACTTTCCCCCATAGTTCTCCTTAGGGTAACGGGAGGACACAAACTAGCGTCCTCCCATCACCCTAGGCTCAGTATATAGGGAGCTACAGCTCGCGGTATACTGAGACGCCGCAGCGGATCCCGACGTAGATGACGGGATCCGCCCAGCTGCGTGACTGACAGCTGGCTCCGCCTATCTAGCCAGTTGTACCCGTTCGTTCCGCCAGTCGGTGCTGGGAGCAGTGAGTGACAGTCACGGCTCTCTGCCGGCACAGGATCGAGAGGTGAGCGAGCGCCGGTATGTGTTCGCTCACTTCCCGATCTACTGAGCCGACCTGTGACAGTCTCATTGTCACAGGTCGGCTAGAACTATGAGGGGAGTGACAAGCCCCTCCCCCCCCCCTCATAGTTCTCCTTTATTATACTCCATATTCCCTCCTATGTTGCCGTCCTGGTTGTATCCTCCGGCCTTCTGCTTTTGTAGCCGGCCGTTAGTCACTATAGCAGGAGCTGGCAACCTCGGCCCTGCCGCTGTGAAATGACAAATCCCATCATGCCTGTGGTAGTCGGTCTTGCAATGCCTCATGGGACTTGTAGTTCCACAACAGCTGGACAGCCGAGGTTGCCCGCCCCCTGCCTTATACTAAATCGGGGGCAGCCAAACTCTGACCTTCCAGCTGTGGGTGGAACTACAAATCCCATGAGGCATTGCAAGATTCTCACAGACATGACTCCTGGAGAGAGATGCCTCATGGGAGAGATTCCTCATGGGATTTGTAGTTCCACCCCTAGCTGGGGGGGGGGGCCGGAGTAGTAAATGGAGGTAGCCTCAGGTGTCGGAGTAGCTGATCTGTGAATTGTAGTCAATGTGATACTGAGCAGGCGTGTTGATTTCCTGTACTGAGCTCTAACATTGTGTCTGCAGGTGGAGGTGATCGGCGGCGCAGACAAGTACCACTCGGTCTGCAGACTTTGCTACTTCAAGAGCCGGCAGCCGACGGAAGGGAAGGAAAATCTTCTTCAGGCTTTAAGGGACAAAACGACCGCAATGAAAACCAAACCCGCGCCGGCCGCGTCGCCTCGGAAACCTCTAGCGCAGGTCCAGCCCTCGGTGTGACCTGTCATAGGAGGAAGTGACCTCTGGGGGGCGCCAGACGACGGAGCCGGAGAGCTGGGGCTTGCTGGCTTGTGTGGGGCATGGGACGGTGTGCGTACATGTGCGTTGTTATCATTTTGTCTGCTTTGCCCCCTTTTTCGGTCGCTGCTCTGCTCAGAACTATGGTGGCCCCCTTTTTATGTGATCGCAAAACATTTTTACATCCAAATCTAAAATGAGGATGTTAAATTGGCATTGCAGCAGAGATCGAGGAAGGCGCAACTGCGAGTGCTACTAGTTCCCGCACGCTTGTCAGAGGTGTTGATGTGAGGCATGATGGGATTTGTAGTTTCACTACAGCTGGTAGGGGTGCCTCCCCTGGGTTAGATCCTGTGTCAGGCTTCTGTTGCCCTGGTGGGGAGATGCATCTTGTCTAT